CCTTTCTTCTGCAGCACTTGATGGGTTCCAACTACTAACTTTCAGGTTAGTAGTCAAGCGCAAACAGCTGGCTTTACAAATCCAGGTTCCTTGATTAACTGAAGTTCAGAGACTTGACTTGGCTACCAGACTTAAATACGAGAAAGCTACAAACGGTTCCCGGATACATCCTCAGGCTCCGTGAGCTTAGAACATTTCAGACTCCACGCCCAAAATCCCGGGCTTCCTCCCGCTTGTAGGGGAAAGCCAAGAAACAAAAAGAGTGCACCAATCAGAACGTAGAAGTGGAAGATTGTCACCCTCCAGCCCAATAAGGTAGCGGGTGGGCGGGAAGAGGGAGCCGGTTCGCTCTTCCGATTTAAACTTCTGGGGATGGGCGGTTAACTGCAGCTTGGCCTTTAAATCGTCAGTGCGCCTGCGCCGACTGCGTAAACGCTAACTGAATCTTGCGGTGCTGTGCTCTCCTGGCGTGGGGTCTCGGTGAGTTGGGAAAGCTGCGGGAGCGTCAGAGGGAAGGTGTGATAGGAACCTGAGGGAGAGCTGCCTGCTCTTGTAGGAGCCCATGTCCTTTTCCCATCGTTTAGCGACGTTAGGTTCTCAGTGGTACAGATTTGTAGTTTCCCTCTCCTTGTCACTGTGTTTTCCCTGACGCGCCTGAAGGTTTGGTAACCGTCACATTTCTGATAAACTCAGATTGTATTGTTCCTTAGGGCACTGTTAAGCTGTAAAGTGCTGGCGTGCTCGGGAGCCCTGTTCCGGGAGCTGGTTCCCAGAGCCCCTGGAAGTCACAATACGTGAAAGGCTACTGCGGAGGCGCTCTTTGCTCCCCTCATAGACACCCGGGCCCGAGATGTTTGCGGACTGCCGGCGACAGGAACGCTACCTGCCCGCGTTCTTGTTACAGCTAGGAGAAAACTTGGTCAGGGTCACCCGGCTCCTTGAGCAGAGCCTTTCAGGCCCAGGTGGAGCCCAAGGAGGAAGGGGCGGACGGAGGGAGACAGATGCCCTGGAATAGAACCGAGTTCCCAGGAGGCCCTAACAATCAAAGATAACAGCCGCTCCCGTGGCCATATGGTGGAGATAACTGTCGTTTTTGTTGTAGTTTAGAAGGAGAAAAGTATTCTCACCCTAAAGGTACACCTTTTGTGGTCTTCTGCATAGAATATAGACAGCTGGCTACAAGAAGCTGCTTCCCTAATGTGGAGCTCTGATGGCCTAGTGGCTAAGGCATTGACTGGTAACCAGAAGGCTGGTGGTTCAAAGCCAACAGCCACTCCTCGGAAGGAAGATTGGCCAATCTACTTCCGTAGTGTTACTGCCTTGGAAACCCAAGGAGGGGTCGCTGTGAGTCGGATCTGATACAATGGCAGTGAGGTTTTTTTGTTTTGTTTTGTTTTGTTTTTGCTTCCCTAATGAGTTAGGATAAAATAGCATGTCAAGTTGAAGAATCAAAGAATCCTACCCCACAGTGAAAATAAATCTTTTTTCCCATTGTAAAAATTACAGAATCCCATTGTTTTTAGAAATAAATCTGAGCTTATCTGTTATGTGTCGTCGAGTCGGACCCGACCCATAGCGACCCCTCCTTGGGTTTTCAAGGCATTGTCACTACGGAAGTAGATTGCCCAACCTTCCTTCCGAGAAGTGGCTGGTGGGTTTGAACCGCCAGCCTTCTGGTTACCAGTCAAATGCCTTAGCCACTACG